CTCCGCCCCACCCCGCGCCGCCTGCGCCCCCCACCTCCACTACCGAGTCTGCCCCAGGCCGCCGGTGTCCCTCCTTCTGCCGCCACCAGCCCCGCCCCTGGCCACTGGCGACCCCCTTCCTGCCCGCAGAGGCAACCCCAGAGCCAGGACGTGCTCCTCCTCCCCGCCACCCCAGAGTCCTCTCCACGGCAGCGGTGCGGTGATGTCTGCCTACCCTTCTGTGCGCCTAAACATCCAGGGCCACCGGGCAGACAGAGTTCAGCCCCAGCCCCAGGAGGCACACTGAACGCTCCCCACCCGCTCTCTGTCCTGGGGGAGGGCGGCCCAGGGGGAGCAGAGCAGGGGCTAGGTCGCAGAACACACTCTCCAGGCACCAGGGCCTCAGTTTCCCCTTGATTCCTCTGAGGCGGAGGGCGACAGTGCAGGCACGCAGGCCCTGTGTCTCCGACGTGGGGCAGCCCTGCCGGTAGGGCCAACAAACTAGTAGCCCAGGAGAAGTAGGTTTCCACAGGGAGGTGAGGGTTAGGGGTCAGGAGGCGGGCCTTCCCCTGGGACCTTGGGCCCTCCTATCTCTGTCTTCATCCGTTGTCATGTTGGAGGCCCCATCCAAGCTGACCTTCCAGCGCCGGGACCTGGGAGCTGGGGTTGAGGGCAAGGCAGCGTTGGCCTCAGACACCCGGCCTGCCTCCTGGTGCCTTGTCCGCTGACCCACCCCTTCCCCCCAGCGACCTGGCCCTGAGAAACTGCCTGCTCTCAGCCGACCTGACAGTGAAGATCGGGGACTATGGCCTGTCCCACTGCAAGTACAGAGTGAGTGGAGGGCCACGCCGGGAGTGGGGCGTGGAGGCCCGGGCAGGCGGGAGAGCTGACCGTGGGCCCCCGCAGGAAGACTACTTCGTCACAGCTGACCAGCTGTGGGTGCCCTTACGCTGGATCGCGCCTGAGCTGGTGGACGAGGTACACAGCAACCTGCTGGTGGTGGACCAGACCAAGGCCAGCAATGTGTGGTGAGCTGCCGCGCAGTGAGGGCAGGCCGGGAGAGCCCTGAGGGCTGACACCCACAGCGGAAGGGTCCGGGCATGCCTTTGGTCCCCACAGCCACCGTGGGCACAAAAGCAGAGGGCTTGTGGGGGATGGGCCTCAACCCATATGTGGGAGGCTCTGGTGGGGTGCAGCTGCCTTTGGGGAAGTGAAGGGGTCAGGCCATGTGCTGGGGGCTGACCAAGGTGGGCTGGGGCAGCCCCAGTATGTGCCAGTGAGCGTGTGAATGAATGAATGAATGGATGAACGAACTTGTGTCTACACAGGGCAGCCAGTCTGCGTTTTATGTGCCTCAGCTCCAGGCACTAGGCCTGCCAGGTGGCCCATCCACTGGCCAGAAGGAGCTGTCAGTGTGCTCAGGCCTGGCATGTCAGTTCTCGGTGCACGAGTGCAGGGAGTTGCCCCCGGGCTCAGAGGCCTGTGACCCCAGGCAGCTGCCCTCTCATGCCTGCGCCCCCGCAGGGCCCTGGGCGTGACCATCTGGGAACTCTTTGAACTGGGCATGCAGCCCTTTCCACACCACTCGGACCGCCAGGTGCTGGCCTACGCCATCAGGGAGCAGCAGCTCAAGCTGCCCAAGCCCCAGCTGCAGCTGCCCCTGTCCGACCGCTGGTGAGGACCCTGCGGCCTGGGGTGGGTGTCAGCTGGGGCCGCCTGCCCTGCTGGGCTTGGAGAGGACCCCGGGCCCACGGTGGGTGTTGCCTGCCGCCTCCCTTTTCCACTGGGTCTGGCAGGTGTGGGGCCGCCCTGACCTGGGGAGGTGGAAACTCTCCAAGGCCTCACCCCGGGCAGTGACCTCACCCGGGCAGTGATCTATGGGGCCCACCTCTGATCTCCGCTGCCCACAAGGGGGCTGGCCTTTTAATTCCACGTGGGCGGGGGGAAACTGCCCCAGGGGAAGGTGCCCCAGCGCACTGCCTGTCCCTCAAACCAATGGTACTAATTTGGAGATTTGGGGGCTCACGTAATTCAGAGCGAGACCCTCTAAACTACTCTGCGGGGACTTTGCTGGTAAGCAAATGAAAACACAGCTGCCCTTGTCTGGGGGGCGGGGGGGCTCGGCAGCAGCGTGGAGCCGTGGCCTGGATGGACGGGGCCTCCCAGGGATGGGGGTCGGGCAGAGGGAGCCCGGAGGTCGGGCTGAGCGGACGGAGCCCCGCCTCCCCGCAGGTACGAGGTGATGCAGTTCTGTTGGCTGCAGCCGGAGCTGCGGCCCACGGCGGAGGAGGTGCACCTGCTGCTGGCCTACCTGTGCGCCAAGGGCGCCACCGAGGCCGAGGAGGAGTTTGACAAGCGCTGGCGCTCGCTGCGGCCTGGCG